AGCTGTTCCTGTTGGCAGCAGAGGATAGGACTTGCAATAATGGGTTTAAATTAAGGGCGGGAAGGTACCGGCTGGATATTAGGAAAAACTTTTTTACCATAAGAGTTGTTCAACAGTGGTATCAGCTCCCCCTCACTGGCAGTCTTTAAGCAGCGGCTGGACAAACCCTTGTCAGGGATGCTCTAGGCTGATCCTACATGGAGCAGGAGGTTGGACTAGATGGCCTGTATGGCCCCTTCCAACTCTGTGATTCTATGATTCTATATTTCTGCTGGTGACAATGTTGCAGAAAGGAAGCCTGAAGACCCCCCCCTCCCCTTCATAGTGTATGGAGTTCTATGGAGTGACAGAGAGGTCTTTAAAGGGTAGTCCCTGTGCGAACAGGTGGCTAAGCGTTGGATGGGACACCAGTGCCCCAATTCATGTCACACCTAGCATGTTTTTTGGACCTCAAAAAAGTTATTGCAGAGCTGAGAAAAGTGCACAAGAGAGTAACTATGGTGATTAAGGGGCTGGAACACTTTTCCTTTGAAGAAAGACTAAGAAATCTGGAGCTTTTCAGTTTAGAAATTAAGATGACAAAAGAGGAGCATGATAAAGTTTAATAAAATTCTGCATTGGGCAGATACAGCGAATAGAGAGAATTTTTCTACCTCTCTGCTAATACTGGAACTCAGGGATACCCAATGAAGTTGATGGGCAATAGATTCAGGAAGACTGAAAGACTTCTTTAGTCAATGGGAATTCCCTGACAGTGGACATAGTGATGGCCAATAACACAGATGGCTTTAAAAGGGGATTAAACAGATGCATGGAGGACAGGTCTATCAGTGGCTAAAGGGAACCTCCCATATGCAGTAAATCTCTGGATAGTTGTGTTAGAAGCAGGGCCGTAGCCAGCGGTGGAGCTTTGGGGGCTGAGCCCCCTATCACATACCCCAAAGCCCTACCTGGTGCCCTAAAGCCCCCCACCCCCACCTCCTTGTGCAGCTTCCTAAACTGGCTCGAAGCCCTTCTATCCTACCAAAACGAAATAACACTAAAAACCAGTATCACCTTCTGTAATATAAGCACCATCGGTAAACAACACAGCTAATGCTAATTACCCTCCAAAATTAATCACAAGCCCTTGGAAGAAGAAACGTCTTACAAGCCTTCCTAAAACAATGGCAATAAAAGAATTAATACCTAGCACTGTATACCCAGTACAATTTTCTAATCAATCTGGATTCCTTCACTGATACCACCACTGGTGACACCTTTATACTTTCCTCAGTACAAGTTGCCCTAGTTCAGAATGACATATTGCAGCCTTGTTGTGAAACTTCACTTACACTAAAGAATACTTTGAAAATTCTTAAAATGTTCTTGAAAGAAGCTGCAGGTTGGAATCCCACGTGCTGTAAGTGGAACTCCCTTGAAAGAGGTCTGTAGTCTTAGGTCTAAGTCTGAGCAACAGTAATGTGTTGTGTGTCGATGCAGTCATCTTCCTGTGCTCCAATTCTGAGGACTGTCACAAATCTGCCCATTGTAAATAACAGTAATATTTACATGTGGATGTTTTGCCTGTGTGCACAATGTTTATTCTTCAGTACAAATAAGTGTATGTGACCAAGCATGAGTTATTGTGATTATTCTGTCCAGCAGTCAAGTTGCTGAGTGTCCATCCTACCATTCTTCTCTTTGGTTTTCTGCCCATTGTCAACAGATGCTCTGTTTTCCAGATACTGCATTGTACTTTCCATGATGGAACACTATTCAATCACTGGTCCAAACCACTCCTCCATTCCCCAAATAGCTGCAATAAAAAACAGAATAGGTACACTCTATCTACACCAAAGGAACTGATAATTCAATCACTATGCCAGCAAATATCTATGCCAAGAGACAGCAGGTACTGTTTCCATATAATTCACCAAACCTGAATAGTCAGCATCACCAAAGGTCTTTTTTGTTTCCTTCAAAATACCTTGCACAGGTTTCACAATGTTGTTTTAGGTTAATTTCATTGGGAACTGAATAAGTAGGGTAGCTCACCACCAAACGGGCCTGGAGATCTCCCAGACTTACAACTGATCGGTTCCTCTGGAGAAAATGACAGCTTTGGATGGTGGACTTTAAAAAAATATACTTTTATTGAAGTAACAAACTTGAATAAATTCTTAACATATCACCAAACTACAATTGTTATTAAGACTCAAAGTTCAACAACAAAAACAGAAAACCAACTATCATATTACAATCATCGTGTCCAAACTTAATGAATACTCTTCTTTTAATGACAAATATTTCAGGAATTATGACTATGATATTTTATCCAATATGCAGAGATAACACACCTTATACATCCAGTCAGAAATCAATAATGGAGGGTAGACTTTATGGCATTATGCCCTGCTGAGGTCCCTCCCCAAATTCCATCCTCCCCAAACTCCACCCCCAATTCCCCAGAAATTTCCCAACCCAGAATTGACAACCCTATTAATAACTATAAGATTGTTAGCTTTCTATTGGGTGCATTTCATACATTGCTACATTTCACAGATGAACACAAAGAAGAAGAGACTGATTTAGGAGGAGGAGGAGGAGGAGGAGGAGGAAGGAAGGGAAAAAAAGACGAGGAAGAGGAGGAGGAAGAGGAGGAGGAGATTGGATTAATACCCCACCCTTCACTACCCAAGGGAGTCTCAGAGTCAGAAGCATGTTTAAAATGACTAAGGTATTAGTTATAACAATGTTTTAGTAACCTGTTCTTTAAGTGATAAAGGGACAACCGCTGCAGTTTGACTTATGGATGAATAAAAATTTTAATACAGCAGCTCAAGAAGCATATAGCAATGTTCTCAAATTATTCAGTAGCAGTAATTCATAGGAAATTATTCAGTGGTAGTAATTCATAAGAAACATTCAAAGAATACTTATGTGGTATGCTATAATTTCCGTGGTTTGCTTTTTAAAAACCAATTATTAACGTTAAGGCAGACAGTAACTCCAGATCAAGGAAATGATATATTTGACCTTTTAAACCAGTACAGTAGCCATAACTGTCTATTCTGATATGAACTAGTAAAAGAAAATGAAATCCTTTCAAAACTGAAGATATCTGCCTAAAAATAATACAAAACATGGGAATGTGACAATAAGGTAGGCAAATGTAAGTAGGCTAAAAATCCGTGCAATGAGGATGTCTTTAGAGTGGGGAGTGGGTGGGGAGATTAAAAGATGTGTACTTTCCAAGCAAGATTTTAATTAATTATTGGTGAATCTTAAACAAGGTGAGCAATTAACGAATGTTATTTAAAAAGAGACACAGAGATCCCTTACTTTTCCTATCTCAAGTTTATTGCACTGTGACTGCAGTTCTCTACAAACCTAACCCAGGAATAAGTCCAATCAAACATAGGGTTTTTTCCCCTACTATTGAGTAAATTTGTATAGTATTAGGAGGGTGTTAAGGGCTGGTTCAGTGAACCCATGTTGGCTGGAAAGGGTGGTGTTTCCCTTACTGGGGGCATGTAAGTTATCCTGCTCTGATCTGGAAAGCCCAGGCTAGCCCAGTCTTGTCAAATCTTGGATGCTAAGCACTTATCAGTATTTGGAAGGGAGACCACCAAGGAATACCAGGGTCATGATGCAAATGGCAAACCACCTCTGAAGATCTCTTGCTTTGAAAACCCTATGGGGTCACCATAAGTCAGCTGTGACAACAGCAAAAAAAGAAGAAGTTATCCTGACTTGATGCTTTAGGCTGGTCCCGCATTGGGCTGGGGGTTGGACTAGATGGTCTGTATGGCCCCTTCCAACTCTATGATTCTGTGATTCTATGAACTCTGCATTTAGCAGTGCTGTGTTGCTATTGAATACCAGTTTAGCCAGATCAGCTCACAGTTTTAAATTAGAGACTTGTCCAGAATAGACAACCAGATGTCTAATAATTGCAGGCATAAACATGCCAAGAAATAAAAGGCCAACGTAATCTGTGTTTGCAAGCCCAGATAAACACAATTTTGAGATACCCACTTCTCATGGAGGCTGAAATACATTTTCATGTACAACCCTTATCCTTTTTACACGCAAGTCTTGTTGTTGTTTTTAAATGGGGAACCAGCGATTAAAAAGAAGAAGAAAGAAACTGACTTCTTAAATGTATATCTTTAAAAGGCAGATTAATAGCCAGTCATGATCACAGGTCGGGTATCTCCCTTCTCCCATATACAGGAGGCAGTTTCCACACAAACGCCAAACAGCACTGATTTATGTACCCAGGACTATTCCAAGAAGCAACTTTCCCCGAGAACACGGTAGGTCCCTGCAAGCATTCTGTAAACAGGAAGTGTCTAAGGGCTTTTGCCTTCTCGTGAGGCATTAATCTTTTTCAGGGAAACTAGAAAACGTACAAGGGTGCAAGTGCGGGTTGCATTCGAAAAGACCAGCCGAGGGTGCATTTCTGGGCAGGGCTAGAATGCGCCTCCCCCTGGGGACTCTTCTTCCCTTTTATGCCCCCCCCCCGCCCAGCGGGAGTCCTATAAACTTTTATTTAAAGCCCCCCCCCTCTAAAGGGCTGGTTGGATGTCTTTGGGTAATGACGACTTGGGGAGGGTGGTTAGCGCTGGTTGACATAGTAACTCCGCGCCTCCTCGCCTCGCAGTCGGTGGCTCGAGGGGCTGCTCGGCGCGGCTCGTTGCCGAGCTCCCTGCATGGACTGGCAGGGTGGGGGGGGCCGGCGGGGGAAGGCGCTGCTCGGTCTTCGGGGCGCCCTGCGCTCCCTCGCCTCGAAATGGGGACGCCGATCCGTTAGGCAGAGCCGCCGCCCGAACGCCAGCTAGCTTCGCCCCATCTCCGAAACGGGAGCGAGAGATTTCGCGCCTCTCGCCTGTTCTGCGTCAGGTTTTTTTTTCCCTTTTCTTTTTGGCGGGGGAAAAACAATCATCCCCTCGTCCCTTCCTGAAGGCGCAGCCTGGATTGCCCGAAGAGCCCAAGGCGAGGGGAAGCAAAGCACCATGAGCCAAAGCCAGCCTCGGAAAAACGGCTCGCCGGGCAGCGGGGCCAGGAGGAACGACAGCCAGGACTATCTCCTCATGGACTCGGAGCCGTGCGAGGAGAACTGCATGGCGCCCTACGCGTACTACCCCGCGTGAGTGGCTTCCCGCCGCCAGGGGGGAAAGGGGATGGGGCAGAAAGGCGGAGGGGAGGGGAATGGATGGGGCGGGAGGGAAGCGTCCACGCGCGCCGGGCAAGAAAAGGAGCTGCAACTTGCGCTGGAGAAGGAGGCGCGCGCTGTGTGGAAAGGGTGCCCGCGCTGGGCCACATCGGCCAGGGGGCAGAGTTGGGGTGGGGTGGGGTGGGCGTCCTCCCTCCCTTTCCCCCCTTACCCAGCCCTCGAGCCCCAGCCCGGCGCCGTCAACAGGCAGAAGTTCAAGAAGTGGAGCGGCTGAACCCACGAAGGAGCTGAACCTGTTGCGTCGCTCCTCGTCTTGCGCGCCCGGCCGAAGCGGGGAGTTTGCGCGCCGGAGGGTGGCGAAGTGGGGCAGGGCGGCTGAGAAGGGGGTCGAGGAAGGAGCCTCAGTCTCTGCAAAAACAGTGGCTTCCAAAGCAGGGGAATACAAGATCAAGCTGAGCGCGGCGCAAAACTCATCATCTAGATGGGTGCGAGGGCTCGTAGGTAGCTTTTGTAGAAGGTTAAGGGGCGTTTCTGCCCTTTATATAGTTTCTCCTCGCTAATTGAGTATGGTGTGGGGGAAATAAGTTAGCCGCTTTGTGTCTAGCCAGAGAGAAGAGTCTATTTCATTGTCATTCTTGAGGAGATGTGCAAATGCTCCCCCTAAGCTGTGGAGTCTTGTGAGGAAAAATCCTACTTTGTGAGCTGCTGGCATTAAAGTTGTGAGCCAGCTGTTTGACTTCTGCATACATGAGTTTGCTCTGGAGCCATCCTTCCTGAGCTAATACAAAAAAAACCTGTGAGCTAGCTCAGCTTAGAGGGCACACTGGTGGCGTGCATGGTTGTCCATCCCATATTATCCTTACAGCACCCATGTGACGGGCTAAAGTGCCCCTGAGATTTAGGAGGTGGATGGCTTTTGTCCAGATCTGTAGGGATAGGAGCATGTGGGGTTTGTGGTGAGGGAAGGGACAGTGGAGATAATACTTGTGGAGTGTAGGTTGTCAGCTTGCAGCACAGGTGCCACTGGCATTTATGGCACACCTCAACAGGGAAGTCAGGAGGAGGATCTGTATGCTTGGCTACAGCACACCAACACAGGTGCCACTGGCATTTATAGCACACCTCAACAGGGAAGTCAGGAGGATCTGTATGCTTGGCTACAGCACAAGAATAGGGATCTGTCCTTCTGGCTGCCTCACAGGTAGAGACCAAATCACACCACAGGTAATGGGAGATTACACACATACTGCATAGTATGTGCTAGAGTTGCCATACTTTGGTTATGACTTGTGGCACAATTGCCATAAATCCTGGCTACCGCTGGAGTAGCCTTCTGTCCAATTTTGGCTGTGCGCAATATCAAGGGTTTCTTTCTGTGTACTAGCATATGGGTATTAGTAGGGAGAAAAGGCTAAAGTAGAGAGGGAACCTCTGTAAAACATATATGAGGACTGCAAGTGTGAATAGGTGGAAGAGGTGGTATCTTTCTAATGGAACCGGATGTGTGTGGTAGACATATGGGACTGAGAAGAGCACATGTGTTGGTAGAGCAGAGTGAGGGTGATAGTGGTGGATTATATCAGTGGTTATAATAAGAGGAGATTGGTGAGCAAGTTGCACTTTGTACACTGTATAGTGCAGATTTATTATTGATTCTCGCTGTGTTAGTCTGTTGCAGAGAAAATAAGTAGGAGTCTTGGTGGCACCTTAAGGACTAACAAAATTTTATTCCGGAATTTGGACTAGAGCCCTCTTCTTCAGATGCGTTAAGTAGATCCTGGAATATAATTTTCTTAGTTATTAAGGTGCTGCAAGGCTTCTGATTACTAACTTTAAACATCCCAACTGAGCCATTGGAGGTTTAAAAGAATACAAAGAAATAAAAGCAACAGTGTTTTCACCAGATGGTTAAAATACTGGTAAACAAGTGTGAATGGCCTTATATTGTCAGACCACTAGTCCGTCTACCTCCATAGTATCTTTTTTGGCTGCCTGCAACTCCAGGATTACAGAAGACGGGTCTTTCTTGCACGTGGCTCTTGGAATGGAACTTGGGACCTTTGCTATGGAAGGCACGCGTTCTGCCTCTGAGCTGTAATCTCTCCCCCATAGGGAAAGCTAGATACAAGAGAGAGGATTTCTAGTACGTGATATGAAAAGCCTCTACCTGACACCCTGGAGAGCAGTACTGACCTTAATGGACAAATGGTCTGATTCCAGTGTAAAATAGCTTAATGGGTTACATGTTCACTACTGCAACATTCTCACTCTAAAGTCCGTAGCAGAAAAAGGAGTCTTTCCTAATATGTGCAGTTCTATAACTGGTGCTGGCAGGGATTGAATCTGGGGGACTTCTGCAGGCAAAACATACACTCTCCTACAGACCTTACAGTACGGATTTTTTCAGGCATTGGCAAATACATCTTTACATGGAATTTGACTCAAAAGCATAGCACGAATGGAAGCTTTTTGTGTATATGCAGTTCAAAGTGTATGTAAACCTGGCTAGAAGTCGTCTCAAGAACCAACTAATTTGTTGATTGGAGCAAAGCCTTTTAAAGGTACCACACAGCAAATGGATAAGATCGGCAGCTGCCAGTTCTTGTGCATTCTCCATGGTGGCTCCCATCTTGTGCAGTGGCATGCCTGTATACCTTGCCTTAGATAGTTTGTTCTTCTTATTGTTCTCTAATTCTGTAGTCCTAGTGCAGTTGCATTGTTCATTTGCTGCTGTATGATTGATTGCACAGTTTATATCCTGTAATCTGGCCCTGAGTCTCAGCAAGAAAGGTGGACTACAAATAAATGAACAGTTTTTTAGTTACAGCTTTACAGAACAAGGGTAGATTCTGCCTAAAATCCAATGTATGAAAGACAGAGAATTGTAAAAGGTATGGGTGCAAAATTTTATTTTATTCTATGACGTTGTTTATAGTCTGGCTTTCTCTCTTGGACTCCAGAAGGATTACACAGAGTTAGTCAATACAGTCGACAGGGTGGGACATTCAGTGAACAATGCAGTGGGAGTTAGGACTGTAGAACCAACCAGCAGTGTAAAAGCAGAACTGAAGCAGAGCATTAGTATTAGTATGACACGTTAAATTAAGCAAAAATTACATAGTGGGATTCTACTTTCAGCAAGCTACAGACAGTGGTACAGACCACAGTCTCTATTAAATTATCCAAGTAACTTTGTGAAATATTTAGTGCAGTGTGACTCTGGTGTCTGTGTACAAAAGACTTCTTGAATAATTTAATATTGCATAGGTGGGAGCCTTCTTGACCTTCTCAGGCAGATCACTGCATAAGGTGGGGGTCACAACAGAGAAGAGTGTCATGGGTCAGCCAGGGCTCATGGATAGTGAGAACTCCTCAGAAGAAGAGCAGTCTGGTGTAGCCAGTCTTGAGTTAACAAACAGAAGCTGGCCAGCAGGGAAATCAACAACAGGTTTCTCAGGATTCACAGCCATCAGCTGGTGCAGAGCCACCAACACCCTCTAGTCCTGATTTAGCAGGTGAAAGTCAGCTGGCTGTTCCCAGCCCTCCACTGTTGCCTACATAAAGCGCCACAGATGGAGGCTGCGAACAGAGCTACAGGCAAGGAGGCAAAGTGCATGTCTCCTGTTGCCTGTTAATAGCAAAGAGGAGTTGTTGCAGGGTTGTTTCCAAGCAGCTGGTTGTAAGCATGTTCCTTAGGCCTGTGGCTATAACAACCTCCTGTGAGAAGCTGTTAGTTGTGGAAGCAATGTGTTACAATAGATGCTTAAACCACTGACTCTGCCTTGCCTGTTTTCTGGAACTCTGACCCTTGGACTGAATTACTCTGCCTTGCTTGACTCCTGGACCCCTGACCTTTGGACTGAAAGACATTGGCTGACTTGTGGTTCCATGACCTTGGACTGAACCTCACTGCCTTGCTTGACTCCCAATACTCTGAGCCTGCAAGTCAGTACAAAGGCACGTGTGCAGGCAGTTGTTGATTTTGCCTGAATGCAGGTTGGTACCTGCCAAGGAAGAAGGAAACAAGACATGCCCTCTTCCAAGTGTCAGAGGTAGGAATTATTGCACAATGCTCATTTATTAAATAATAGGTATGTAGATTTTTAAAAATTTTTTTAGGATTTGTGGGAGAAGAGTAAGCCATGAGCATGGATTCGCATCAGTGTTATTGTGGGTGCACAATTTCCCCACCGCTCCCCTTCTGCGGCATCCTGTTATGCCCCCTCCCGCTGTCTTGTTGCTGGAGCAAGAAAAGATTTGGGTAGCGCATATCGAGTTTTTGCAAGTGAAGGGAAAGTCATGGTCCATGGGTGTGGGGACTCATACCTTCAGAAACACTTGCATGGTGTGGTGGTTAAGAGTGGTGGACTCTAATCTGGAGAGCCAGGTTTGATTCCCCACTCTTCCACATGAAGTCTGCTGGGTGATCTTGGGCCGGTCATGGTTCCCTCAGAACTCTCTTAGCCCCACCTGCCTCACAAGGTGCCTGTTGTGGGGAGGGGAAGGGAAGATTGTAAGCCACTTTGAAACTCCTTAAGGTAGAGAAAAGTGGGGTATAAAAACCTACTCTTCTCCTTATCTATGGTGTTGGAGGGAATAGGAACATGGTGTGGTGGAAAAGAGAGTTGTACTGCTTCTGGTACACAGTGCCTGAGTGGGTAGTAGTATCAGGAATCACATCCAGTTGTGTCTGTTGAGTGTGGGAGGAGCAGGTGTTTGGCAGCTGGACTCCACCTGTATTTAGTAGCAGCAGTTATTTCATTTTGGCAGTTTTCCACAGCACATTCCCTCACCCTAATGTGAACAGAATAAGATGCAGATGGGTTTTTCATTGACTGCCCACCCTCAGCACCACTTGGTTAACTGGAAATGTTCTGAGCACTCTCAAAGGATTTGAGAGTCAGTGTGGTGTTGTGGTTAAGAGCAGCGACTCTAATCTGAAGAACTGGGGTTGTTTCCCCCGCTTTCCCACA